TAGAATAAATTTGTCTGCAATAGACAAACTTGTAAATAATACAATAGTAATGATTGAAAGTCATTACGATTATTATTTAGAGCAGTTCTAAATAAATACTAACTGCATAGAACCACCTGCACATAACTGCGATAATTCACGTAACCGGAAATAAGTGATTATTATGTGTATGGTGTGGTGGCGCACAGCGGCGTGCCGTACCGTATTATAACGTTTAATTCCGTTTTCACATTGACGTTATCGGCGCAGTGCGTTGGTCGAAACACGTCTAAGGTATTTGTGCAAAACAAGTTCTTTATTGTTGTGGGCCGTCGGTGCTCTGCGGACACCACGATACGTTTAGAGGCACTTGCGCAAGATGAGTGTCCTATCGTTTATGTGTCTAGTATGTGTTTTAAAAAGCGTAGGTTACTTATGCAGTTAGTCTATAACGACATATGACATGACATAATATTTTATAATCACGGTACATATATGAATAAATAATTTGTAATTACTTATAAATCTATGTATTGCTAATAAGTATAATCTCTAAAACAACTATTTCTTTATAAGGTTAGTTTTGGTAGTTGTGTTAGTACGTTTTTAAAAAATAATTTATTATAAGGCTAATAGTGTAACACAAATGATAAAAATGTATTTTCAGCCAAGTTATGAATATATCACTTAAGGAAAAATATGATGTAAACTAAAACATTTAATTATTTAGGAACGGGTAGGTTTTTATTGAAAAGTAACTGATGACATTTGTCAACAGATGACTTGCCACCCTTTAAACGAATTCCGTAGTTTTTTTCTGAAATATGTGACATGTCTAACTTTTTAAAATCAAATATAAACACTTTATTAGAATCGATGTTTATTTAAATAACTGTGTAATAACCCAAATTCAACAATTATATTAAATTAATCATATAATCGTTTTATATATTCTTACCCATGATGATTTGTCAATTTTCGTGCAACAACATAAAATTACATCATTTAATACAATAAAACATAATGAAACAACCGTATGCTCCAACAATAACATCATTTACTTGTAATAATTTTTTATAAAAAAAAATAGAAAATTACATTGTTTTGATTTTAAGTTTATATACCAATGTAATGTACTTAAAATAATTTTTAAAACAATACTGTTCTTTATTTACTTTATTTATAATAATAGACTAACATTGCGTGGTTAGCATTTTTATAATATCGATGAAGTTTGTCACCTTATTTTTACTCTCTACTCTTATGTAGTTTGAAAAAGCATTTTAAGAAACTTTTTTATGTTTTATTTATTATAAAAAAAAAGAAAATAAATTAATACAAAGATTTTCTTTTCTTTTATTTTTCTTTCATTTTAATTGTATGCGATTTATTCTAAATACAAAATGTTATATGAATAAATACCTACATACATAAACACATTTATATTATTAAAAAAATCACATTAAAACTGTATTTAAAAATTAAATTAAATAAATATAAGACAAAACTCAAGTATATAAATTACGTTTGCGGCTGAGGAAAACCTGTTGTGCATTTAAGTTTTGTTTTTATTAAAACTTACCTAGTAACTTAACCAGTATTTTAAATTACTTTACATACATAAAGACTGAAATAAATGAAGAATAAAAATAGTCTTTAGAAAATACGTCAATCGCTGATTTTGAAATAACTTTGTGACGTGCACGAAGTGCTACTCTTTTGGTGATACCTAAATAAAAAAGTAAAAAGAAAAAATAAACAATATTTTTACTTATTTATTAAACATTTCTGCTACAACTAGTGTCAGCCTGTAGTTCTCCCTATTCTGTGAGCGATTTGGTGTATGTTGCGCACTCTTAGAGAATTCTCAAACACATTATTACAAGCTTTATAACATTATAAATAATTTATTAATTTTATTAATAATATTTATAGAGATATATAAATATATGCATAATAATTATTATTTGTGGTTGCAGTATTTGTTTTGACGGCAAGTAAAGGAGGAGCTGCTTTCTTTTGAAATGGACATAAAATTTTTATTTTATTTTAGCTTCTATGCATAGCTGAAATGGTAATGGTCTTATTAATATTTTGATTATTATTTTGTGATAATCCACATGAAATGTCATTCTAGGTCAATATTATTTAAAATTTTACTAGAAAATCATTAACCGTATCTAGTCAAAGGTTTTAGCATCACAATTCGAAAGAATTCTCTCAATCATCGAACATATGGTAAAAACCCTCGACAATTAAGTCATATAAATAAGTTAGATCGAAATCAAGTTTATTATACTTTTTACAATTATGTAATTCAAAACGATTTTTTTTTTTAACATATTATGAATTTATAGTAAAGCAACATCAAAACAAGAACCAATTGAACTGAAAATAATAACGTTAAGACGGCTTCTTAATGTTTTTGAAATGCATAATGTTGACAAATATTTTTTTTAACTAATATATATTTTAGATGAATTTTAGAAATGAGAAAATAAATTTAAAAAATAGAATATTTTATTAGTATATTACCATAATAAAGAATAAATGAAACACAACTGATTTTTTTATTTGGTTTTTAATTATACATTTTATTATTGTGAAAACAATTTATTTTATAATTAAAAATATATATATGTGTGCTAACAAAGAATCCTTTTTAAATAAACCTTATATAGATAGTAGTACCAAATTAAGGTATGAGTTAAATTAAATTAAAACTTAATCTATTATATTTATTATTAGATTAGCAAGCCATATAATTTTTTTTTTTATCTTTAGTTTTTATAATGATTTAAAATTAAAAAAAATTTTCATTTATACAAATCACAATTGATAAAAAAAAAAATTCCTTGTACTAATCATCAACGTTAAATCTGTTTCTTGTTCTTTCAATAAAATTCTAAAAAATATATATTTAATTAGTATTAGTATTAAGACATTTATTTTCATATTATATTTGCAAAAAATATTTGTAAAATATGTTAAGAAATGTTGTAGTAAATAGCTGACAAGGTATCAAATAACTTCGATGTTAATTTATTATAAGTTTTTAACACTATAGTAAGCAATTTTAAATTCTAAAGTAATAAAACAATGTTATATAAAGGGAAAATGCAGGGTAAGTAAGTTAACAATGGTGCGAACAAGAATATATAAAGGAAATAAGAAAATTAAATGGGGTTTGATGTTTTGACTAAGAAATGTCTAGTACGAGTCAGAACGTTTAGTGTGTGAAACTTTGTATTTCGAACAAATTAATTTATATTGAGTTACAATGTAACATTATTACATTGTATTTTGATTTTGCGTTTCTTACATTCCGTAAATAAAAGATAAATGTTCGAAACCTGCACTTAATGCAATTGCCTTATATCCACTGTGTTATTAAAGTGATGTTTGTGTCCTTTAGTCGATCTCAACAATTAGTGTGCGCGCTGGCTAGATTTGGACTTATCCGTCCTATAGTAGGTATTGTCTAAAGGTAGTTGTGCTGGTGGCTGACGAGTAGCAACCCTTCAGTCTGCTACTTTTGAGCTAGACCGTGATGACGGGTTTAATACTTACCCCTTTAGTGGTTCACAAATTAGAGGGATGGGACTGAACAGTGTACCCAAAGGTAGGACTCGATAAGAGCCAAAACGACGAACTTGACGCCAAAAAGTACTGATTAATTTGTGTACCTTTTTTTGTGTCAACGTCACGGTACTACCGACGTACGACAATCTATTACTAGTCTAACCCATTCTTATCCAACCTTTATAACTGTACTAAAATATAGATAACATATATATTTTTGAAGGGATCAGTAGTACTTAGGAAAAAGCTTTCTAAGCCTAAAAATTTGAAACATTAATTTTTTTACTACATTAATATAGTAAATCAAAAGTTTTTATTTGATCACACAATTATAACTAAAAAAAAATTTCACAAGTCACCTTAAAATTGACAAACAAATAGCACATTTAAAATAACTACCCAAAATGTTATATTTAACCTACTATTACGGTAATTTAAAATTTTTCATTTTGATTTTTATTTAAGTTTATAAAACAAAAAAATAAGCATATTGGGTCGCGGCATACTAGTTAGAACAAGTGTAAATGATATCTGACAGTGATATAAATCATTATAACAAAAAACGTTTCAAATCAAATGTGTAAACAGTTATAATTATTAGAAGGGTTGGTTAAATTATTCCAAAAGAAACATCAACTTCTATTTCCATAATTATATCCTAATTGTAAATTTTATGATTTATAAGAATAAAACACAAATTAATACTTATTATAGTAGTTAAATTTATTATGAAATTGATATTCAATAATCTATTGTTGTCATTTCATAGAGAAATTATTAAAAGAGAAGAAATGATCGATTAATCATCATGACCCTGGTTAATTTCAGTTATGGAATTAAAAATGTAATTTATTATAAGTAGTATGAAGGCTGGAGATATCAGCTCTTGAATAAAAGGAATTAAGAAAAAGTATATATACAGAATGATCGAAATCTGGTAAGACACTTATTTTCTCAGAAACTATTGAGAATTTAAAATTTTTGTAAAAAGAAAAATTATTAAGTTTATAAAACTCTACAATAATATGAGGTTAAATAATTTTTTTTTTTATCCCTTCAGGGATAAAAATGTTTATTTATAATTTTTTTAAATGGGAACCACTATTTTTTATTTGATAATATGATAGAAAAAAAATTACAAACAATATTGTTCTTAAAATTTTTTTATTCAAACAACCGTTTACGTTTTATAATTGTTTAAAAATTTTGACTTCCAGAAAAAATATTGTCATTTATTACGTTTCATAATATCGGTGGCACACAGTGGGACCAA